ATATAGTGTGTAGGTGTTGTTTTATTATTATTATATCGTAATATATATTTAAAACGTCTTCCTGGTGAGAGGCCCTCATATTAGCGTACTTCATGAACCCGTTTAGAAACTAGAATCCCTATATATATAGTGTGTAGGTGTTGTTTTATTATTATTATATCGTAATATATATTTAAAACGTCTCCCTGGTGAGAGGCCCTCATATTAGCGTACTTCATGAACCCGTTTAGAAACTGGAATCCCTATAGATAGTGTGTGGGTGTTGTTTTATTTTTTTATTATATCTTTAAAAGTTTATTAGAGAAGGAAAAAGTACCTACACCGTAAATATTTTTCCAAAGAGGATCGTTACGTGAGATCTGTGTGTTCTAACGCAAATCGAAAATATGGAGCCCCCCTTTTAAAAAAAACTTGTTCGACTGTCGTGAATTCTCGAGTGTTACATTTCGCGTCAAATCAAACTCATTGTCAAACGGAATAGTATGTCTGCGGACTTACAACGCTAGAAACCGGGTTTCGATACCTGTGGTGGGCAGAGCACAGATAGCCCATTGTGTAGCTTTGTGCTTAATTCCAATCAAACAAACAAACGGAATAAAAACCGTAAACAATTACGATGTGTTTGAATGAATGTTTGTTGTTAAGCGCAAAGCTACGCAATGGGCTATCTGAGCTATGCCCACCAAGGGCATCGAAACTCGTTTTTTTTTTTCAACATACTCTCGAGACCACTGTTTGCTGCACTACGAGAGTGTTGCCCCTACAAACACACACACCCAGGCAAAATTGACCATGACCTTCCTAAAGATCGAATTACGTCACATGCCTGGCACTACACCATAATGACAGTTCGAGCCACGGAAATCCACCAGAGAAAGATGTATACATCGAAACTTTTTGAACACAGTAATAATAATAATAATAAAATATTCAATCAGCAGACACGGATATTAGTCAGATATGGATTAGAATATGCAGATAAAACAACAACATATAACAATGGGGTTTAGATAAGTTGGAAATCATTTAACTAAGTCAGGTAATCAGTTCAATTATTTCGCTACTTTAAACCTGCACGAGCTCTATTCAAATTCTGTTATTCTCGTTTGTTTTATTTTGAAATTCGCGAACACCACTCAAACGTCCATCTGCGCATAGCCGTCACCAATTTTGAACTGATAGACTAGAGGGACAGCGTTAATCAACAGCACCAACCGCCAACTCTTATCCGACCGAAATAATAATCTGGTACATGCAACATCGTTTGACAATCACTCTTATAACGCATCCACGGCTCTAAAGTGCGGAGGCGCGTTTCTGTGACAATGGGTCATAAACCTCTCAGATTCCCAATCCGAGCACGCTAATACCAGGGTACGACTGGCTCACACTAATCAACGTCATAAAGTGTTTTTCGTCTTATTTCACGAAACTAAGAGCGAACTCCTCCTTCAACACGACAATATTATTGTTCTGTTTTAGAGCTTCTTGTGCTACCCCACTGTATCATAGAACAATGTTATTGCTCGGTTTTAGAGCTTCTTGTGCTACCCCACTGTATCATAGAACAATGTTATTGCTCTGTTTTCGAGCTTCTTGTGCTACCCCACTATGTTATCCACAGTCCTTCATGCTATGCGTTTGACCACGTCTGATCCTAAATTAATGGAACGAGACCTAAAGTCCATTACGATTGCAATTTTATTTTCATTGAGTGTTTCCTCAATGCCAAGTCATGAAGTTATTTGTATCCAGACATGAAGCGTTAAAATGAGTAATAAATGACAAGTCATGAAGTTATCTGTATCTAGACATGTAGCCTTAAAATGAGTAATAAATGCCAAATCATGAAGCTATCTGTATCCAGACATGAAGGGTTAAAATGAGTAATAAATGCCAAGTCATGAAGCTCCCTGTATCCAGACATGAAGCGTTAAAATGAGTAATAAATGCCAAATCATGAAGCTATCTGTATCCAGACATGAAGGGTTAAAATGAGTAATAAATGCCAAGTCATGAAGCTATCTGTATCCAGACATGAAGCGATAAACTGAGAAATAAATGCCAAGTCATGAAGATATCTGTATCTAGACATGAAGCGTTAAAGTGAGTAATAAATGCCAAGTCATAAAGCTATCTGTATCCAAACATGAAGCGTTAAAGTGAGTAATAAATGCCAAGTCATGAAGATATCTGTATCCAGACATGAAGCGATAAACTGAGAAATAAATGCCAAGTCATGAAGCTATCTGTATCCAAACATGAAGCGTTAAAATGAGTAATAAATGCCAAGTCATGAAGATATCTGTATCCAAACATGAAGCGTTAAAATGAGTAATAGATGCCAAGTCACGAAGCTATCTGTATCTAGACATGAAGCGTTAAAGTGAGTAATAAATGCCAAATCATAAAGCTATCTGTATCCAAACATGAAGCGATAAACTGAGAAATAAATGCCAAGTCATGAAGCTATCTGTATCCAAACATGAAGCGTTAAATTGAGTAACAAATGACAAGTCATGAAGCTATCTGTATCTAGACATGAAGCGATAAACTGAGTAACAAATGACAAGTCATGAAGCTCCCTGTATCCAGACATGAAACTTTAAATTGAGTAACAAATGACAAGTCATGAAACTCCCTGTATCTAGACATGAAACGTTAAACTGAGTAACAAATGACAAGTCATGAAACTCCCTGTATCTAGACATGAAGCGTTAAAGTGAGTAACAAATGACAAGTCATGAAGCTCTGTATCCAGACATGAAGCGATAAACTGAGAAATAAATGACAAGTCATGAAGCTCCCTGTATCTAGACATGAAACGTTAAACTGAGTAACAAATGACAAGTCATGAAGCTATTAGACTGTGTAATAAAAGCCAAGTCATGAAGCTATTTGTATGTAAAACAAAAGCTATTATAAGGAGTAACAAGCGATGTTGTGTTGCATTTATAGCTGAGTTTTGATATCAAAGTTACTAACTTGATAAGCAGCCAAGTGTATTTTTCTTCTTTTAGTTTAATTAATAGTTTAGCAATAATGTAATTGTTTCAACTAAAGTAAAAACAACGATTCTGAAGTATATAATACATCCTTTTGTTTCAGCAAGTTTACAAATTTATTAACACATTCAATTCCTATTTCCTGCACAACTCTGAATTATGTTTAAAATGTTTTCTGTGTATAAAAACGTAAGCAAGAAATCGTAGAGCTTTGTGTTTTTGCAACGCTCAGAAATGCAAGAAAATTCATATGTTAACCAACACGAACCCATCATTCGTGTGGCTCAAAGATGGTGGTACCATCCCTTAATAACAGATTTGTAATAAATGAATCAAATGCCAAAGTTGGTTGAAAGTAAAATTCAATAAATATAAGTAAACCTTTTAGAGAATATATTACTTAGTGAAAGAGAAATTAATAATTTTTTTCATACACTATTTAATCCCCCCTTTTTGGGGGGGCTGTAACCTTTTGAAAATAAATTTACAGATTTTTCATTTAGCTTGCTTCATTCATATACAAACGCTGACGATTGCGTTGAATTATCACAAAAAGGGGTGGTGAGCAGTAGAGGAATCTGTTGACTACAAACCAATAGAACATTTTAAATCAAACTGATAGTATCATATTCTTGTGTGATGAAATTTTTACTATAAAAAAAAGAAGAACGTAGTGCTTTCTTGTATTACTTGTTATTTTATATTCAAGGTTGGCTGGGTCTCGATTGAAGAATGATGACAAGAAATGGTTCGTTCATTCTGCAGGTACTGATATGGAGTTCACATAAATAATTTACAAAGAGCTTGAACTCCCAACTTACGCTTCAATAGAAATGATGTTCGTACGCAGGTGAGAAGAGCTTACACAATTACATAAGGTGTAGTATTTCTAAATTCCACCTATCTCGTAGTTAACCACGTATCTTTCAGCATTACTTGGCATAAAAAAAAAGAGTTGTAGGACTAGTTCAAAGACGCATGCGTCAGGCTAGTCGATAAAACAATTAGACGAAAAATAAGAATTAGTTCCGAGATATTTGGAATGAAGTCTTCGGTGGTCAGGAAATGTTAAATGCTGAATCTCAAAAATGATCGGAATGTAGCATCAATTTAGCCGTGAAAACGTTAACAGTAATGGCTAAATCCCTGGGCACGGGATGGAACCAACTCGCCGGATATGCTCGCCCTTTCAGTTGTGGGGGGTTGTTATATTGTGGCGATCAATCACGCTATTTGTTAGTAGAGAGTATTCCAAATGTTGGTAGTGGGTAATGTTGACTAGTTGCCTTCCCTCTAGTATTCCAAATGTTGGTAGTGGGTAATGTTGACTAGTTGCCTTCCCTCTAGTATTCCAAATGTTGGTAGTGGGTAATGTTGACTAGTTGCCCTCCCTCTAGTATTCCAAATGTTGGTAGTGGGTAATGTTGACTAGTTGCCTTCCCTCTAGTCTTCCAAATTTGGGGTAATCGCTAGTGCAGATGGCTCTCGAGTCACTTTGCACAAAATTCAACAAATAAACAAATTTATGTTAAGTAGTTAGCACTCATGGTTGCACATGGGCATTCGAGGATTTAAACCCACGATATGCCTCTGAAAACCCTCTGCATTTTCAGTTGTGGGTTCTTAATAAAGATAAATGACAGCCAATCCTCCATTTGGTTAAAAGTAGCCATGCAGGCGGCGAGTGCTTCTGAGTGGTCTCCCTTTCCCTCTGGCCAACAGTTCTAATTTAGAGACAGCTATACCTGGACTCTTGAGTCTTTCATCTGGCCGTTTAATTAACCAATATGTGGCGTAAGATAACGTTCAAGTTTGGAATACCACACATCGAAATATTTAGTCTATGTTGATCATTAAATTGTAAACCGCTTAACTTTGTCCACAACTAACTCCTCCAAATGTTTGACCAATTTGATTATTTAAAACTGGAAGCTCTAAATTATTTCTACTTATAAACTATCAAATGCGTTGACTACGTCCATATCTAAAGTTACGAGTTAAAATTCGGACTCCTTTACCATATATATGCTACATAGTTTTCGGAAATTCTAGCTATTTCTGTTAAATCATTATAGTTAGCGCGAGGTACTCTTGGAATTACGACCGAAAATGTCATTTACTTTAAAATATTATTAAGGAGATAAATACAAAGAAGTATCATTCATGGAAAGATACTTGAGGGAACTTAAATTCTCAGCTTTAATTTTGTAGCTAAGACTTACAAGGACTGCTTCCATGTTGGCGATGTAGCAATTGGTATGACAGCCGTGTTTGAAAAAAACTGTGACTGGCAGGAAACTGGATACACGCTAGGAGGCGTTGCTGGGCACGAAATCGCCGGTACCAGCGGTGAGGCACAAAACACCATGACACACGTGAAATCAGTTGTTGTCGTCTCCGTTTCCAGTTTCTGCAGTTATAAAAAAAGTAGAAACAAAATCAAGCTCTTAATTAAATATTACAGATAATCATCAAAAGATATAAATATACATATAAATTTGGTTGTTATTAAATTTCGCGCAAAGCTAGACGAGGGCTACCTGCGCTAACCGTCCCTAATTTAGCAGTGAAAGACTAGAGAGAAGCCAGCTAGTCATCACCGCCAACTCTTGGGCTACCCTTTTACTAACGAACAGTGGGATTGACCGTTACATTATAACGCCCCCACGGCTGAAAGGGCGAGCATGTTTGGTTATGCCAGGCCCTATATATATATATATATATGGCGATATTCTTAACTTTAAAATTACCAATTTGTTTTACGTAGCTCGCTATTGGTGGGTGAGGCCAGATATTGCATCATATTTAGACATTTTATGTTTTTGTCTGTTACAGAAGTACTAACAGAAAATATATGAAATATACGGTTGACACATGCAAAATATACGGTGGACACCAAAAATCTTAAACGAAATTAACTGCAATATACTGGGCCGGACTTGTCTTGGTCACTAGCTTGCCTGGACTGTGAACGTGGGGATCCATGGTTCGCTTCCTGTTACTACAAAATCACTTTAGGCTTTGAGGCCACGGGTGAGTTCTAAGAGCGACGGTTCGATCCCATTATTCGATTAGAGTAGTCGAATAGTTAACACTGGATGTCGTTGGCTAGCTGCCATCCCTCTAATCTATAATTTACTACTTAGAGACAGCTGGCGCAGATAGCCCTTGTGTTGCTTTACACCTGTATCCAAAACAACCGACTAACCGCAACTGATCACTTAGCAACACGCAGACTGACCTTGACTTTTAACAGCCCATGTGTCAAGTGTCCGTCCTGTCCCTCATAACTCCAGATACACCTAGTGCCTTTAAAAAAATCTATCATTGAATAGTAAATATTTATTATACCAGAAATCATCATACACAATATGAATTTAGAAAATCATCTGCCAAGTTTTTTTTTTAAGTTCCGCTCTTACTATAATTGCATGAAAGTCATGTTTGTGTTTCATTAATTGTCTCTTCTGCTTTTGTAGCAATAATTATTTGACTCGGAATGTCGTTTATCTTGCAAGAACACGTGAAAGTGATCCCGTTGTGACACTATGTCGTGGTGTAAGTGATCCTGTTGTGATACAATGTTGTGGTGTAAGTAATTCCGTTGTGACACTATGTCGTTGTGTAAGTGATCCTGTTGTGATACAATGTTGTGGTGTAAGTAATTCCGTTGTGACACTATGTCGTGGTGTAAGTGATCCTGTTGTGATACAATGTTGTGGTGTAAGTAATTCCATTGTGACACTATGTCGTGGTGTAAGTGATCCTGTTGTGATACAACGTCGTTGTGTAAGTAATTCCGTTGTGATATTATGTCGTACTGTAAGTGATCCCGTTGTAATACTATGTCGTGGTGTAAGTGATCCCGTTGTAACACTATGTCATGGTGTAAGTGATCCCATGGTGACACTGTTGTGGTGTAAGTGATAACTTTGTGACACTGTTGTGGTGTAAATGATCTCGTTGTGACACTGTTGTGGTGTAAGTTATCTCGTTGTGACACTATGTCGTAGTGTAAGTTATCCCATGGTGACAATGTTGTGGTGTAAGTGATCACTTTGTGACACTATGTTGTGATGTAAGTGATCCCATTATGACACTACGTTGTGATATTATCTTGCATTAGTTCAGTTTCGTCCTTATCAGTGTTTCGTCAGTGAGTTACAAATTCTCACAGTTGGTTTTAATTTATCTTGTCTATGTTATGGGGACATTAGAGACAAGCATCTCCGTACTGTAAAGAGTTGTCTTTGTTATGGGGACATTAGAGACAAGCATCTCCGTACTGTAAAGAGTTGTCTCTGTCATGGGGACATTAGAAACAAGCATCTCCGTACTGTAAAGAGTTGTCTCTGTCATGGGGACATTAGAAACAAGCATCTCCGTACTGTAAAGAGTTGTCTCTGTCATGGGGACATTAGAGACAAGCATCTCCGTACTGTAAAGAGTTGTCTTTGTTATGGGGACATTAGAAACAAGCATCTCCGTACTGTAAACAGTTGTCTCTGTTATGGGGACATTAGAGACAAGCATCTCCGTACTGTAAAGAGTTGTCTCTGTCATGGGGACATTAGAGACAAGCATCTCCGTACTGTAACGAGTTGTCTCTGTTATGGGGACATTAGAGACAAGCATCTCCGTACTGTAAAGAGTTGTCTCTGTTATGGGGACATTAGAGACAAGCATTACGGGGTGTTGTGCAACTGCTGGAGTTGATTGAAGAAAACCCTTTTATACGTGCGGATTCGGTCATTTTAGTGAGTGTAATGTTGTGTATATCTGTGCATGTATTGTATATGCGTGAGTTGATATGACTTATATATATATATATATATATATGTTTAACGTTCTCCTCCTCTCTCCAACAGTGGTCAAATTTAAATTCCTACGCGAGATCCTGTTCGCACCGATTTATATGTCGATAGTTCACGCAAAACTATACGAATGCGATTTCCTTTTTAATTTTAAAAGACACTCATTTTGTATGTTGTTGTTGTTTTTTTTGCTAACCTTGCAATGCTGTTGCACGATAGCTACAGGCAGCTTATCGTTAGAAAATATGACGTCAGGCACTTCGGGAAGAAAAAAAAAAAGTTTGTTTCAAGTACTGAAGTAGACTCGTTTACTTTTCGGTTTCTTTGCTTTTAAGGTTTTATGGTAAGCCTATTGTAAACAATGTAGCAAGGACTGTGGGGAGAGTATCATTTTTGTTTTAAACTTAAAAGATAAACACGCGTGTTGACGACGCTGGCTTCGTTTTATTTACGTTTTAACATAACAGCAACCGAATGCATGGTGTCCATCATACAGTTACGTTTTTGTTCAATGGATTTCAGCACCTTCCTCACCCCACCCACCCCCCTACTATAAGACATAATTCCGTCGTCAATGGAAACTTGTGTAAAAAAAAAACTTTTTCAAAAAGTAATTCCTTAATTTTGATAAAAGGGTTAGCACAAAGGATCACGTATAAAGTGTAATAGACTCAAAATTAGACCTCGAGCGCTTTCGAATAGTCGACTATTTCTTCGTATGGTAGTGAAGTCTATCCGATAAACAGACCAGAAGAATTAACACACTACACACATGCACGAAAAAATCTGTATATTGTAAATAACACTTCAAACAAGCAAGTTGCATTATTAGCTTTATTATTTTAAAGCGTTGGATGTTTTTATTACGTTCATATATATATATATATATTTAAGTTTTTAAAATAAATGAACCTTTCTCGACCTTATCAGGCGAGTTTTGCATGGTGGTGTTCATATCTACGTTCTCGTGTGAACATGAAAGTTACTACTGGATTTGTTGTTCGACTCGTCTGCTTTTAATGCCTACCTTTCTTTGTATATGTATATCCACGTGCGCACGTGCTCATTTTTACATCCGCGGGAAAGGGAGCGTGAAAAGGGCACCATTTCACCTTTGACAATATGCTAATATAACTATTCAGACAACAAGGCTAAAAACAAAAGGTGGATAAGTAAAAACTTGTGGGTAAACTACATTGTTGACAGGGTAAAATGTGAAATTCAATAAATAATTAAAAAACAACGTCTTATATTTACATAATTTAAAAACTTTTATTGAAGACGTCAGCGATTTCTACTTTAAAAACATACTTTACACGTGCCCCCCCCCCTCAGTGGCACAGTGGTATGTCTGCGGACTTACAATGCTAGAAACCGGGTTTCGATACTCGTGGTGGGAAGAGCACAGATAGCCCACTGTGTAGCCTTGTGCATAACTTAAACAAACAAACAAACACTCTACACGTACATGTTACGACGTCTACTACGCCGCCTTCAGGAGTTGTTTACGAGACACAATTTTTACTTTTTTCCCTGTAAATAACGCCCCAAGACGACGACGTCAAAACATATACATGTAGAGTGTGTTTTTTAAAATGGAAGTCATTGACGGCTTCAATAAAGGTTTTAAAATTGTGTAAATATAAAACGTTGATTTGAATTATTTATTAAATGTTAACTAATACACAAGTACCGATCACTCATATTTAGAATAAATTGTAACACAGTAGGAAAGTTATCTGCCGAACAGGGCAAATACAGATTTGGGGATACACTGTATATCAGACTTAGCCTCTAGTTTGTTCTGTATATATATATATATAAGTATGTAGAAATATTAATAGAATCTTGATTGTCTCGCGCGTTCTATCGGTTAATAAGATCTAAGGTAATTACAGAAGTTTATTGAATTATTTTACACTTAAATTGACCTCTTCTTCTGTGTGGTAAAAGGAGTAAGATGGCGACTGATGAATAATTGAGATTGAAACCTTATTATTCTACTTATATTTTTCTTACTGGGCTCTCGCTTCATAGTTCTACAGGGTTTTGTCCTGTCAGCTTACACAATCAGTCAGAGCTGACAGGACAAAACCCTGTAGAACTATCTAAGAAGACACAATCAGTCAGAGCTGACAGGACAAAACCCTGTAGAACTATCTAAGAAGACACAATCAGTCAGTTCTCAGATGAAAATATAGCTCTTTCTATCTATTCTGGGCCGAGTGTGGCCTACTGGTTAGCGTGCCGGGCTGTAAATCCGAAGATTCATGATTCGCGTCCCATTACCACAAAACCAAGCTCCGCACATTAGAGCCGTGGGTGCGTTATAAGAGTATATATAAGAGTAGTCCAAACGTTGGCGGTGGGTGCTGCCTTCCCTCTAGTCTTATCATTTCAAAATTAGGGACGGCTAACTCTTGCGTAGCTTTGCACGAATATCCGAGAGAAAAAAAGAAACCTAAACCAAACCATCTAGAGTTATTCAAACAAGTATTCAGTTTTATCACAATCCTTCGCTTACTTAGGCCTATTCATTGTGGAACTTATGCTTATTTGTATGTTTATACTGTTGCCTGACATTGTTGGAAATTTA